AAGATAAGGATGAAGTAAGTCAATGTGACCATGTATGTTGGTGGCCTGGACCACACAAATCTATTTTTTTTATGTCCTTAAATTAATTTTCAAACACGCAGTTAATAAAAGCAGCAACTCCTGCCTTTCCTCTTCCCACCTCAAGATTTTTAGCTGATTGAGCATTTACCTCAATATCACAAAATAACAGGCTCCTATTGCTATTTCTTGATTTGCCGATTTATTGCATGGTTGAGTTCTTGCCATATTAGACGAGGATATGGCTGTCTAAAACCTCTCCCTTTTCTCTGCCCTTCTCCCACATCCTGAGAGAGTCATCGCACTTGTTAGAGTTCCTCTTTTGTAAATGTGAACAATAAATTAACACTGTATTTCCTGTTCCAGCAAATGCTTTCCCCTTTTCAAGAGGAGAAGCTCAGTAACCCTTGCTTCCCTTCAGCTACGTCCCCTTCCTTCTATATCTCCGTTTCTGTCAGCTGTACTTCTGCCTTTGCACTTTAGCACTGAGAGCATGAGCATTCTGTTCTGTAACAAAAATTAAGCTGTCTTTGCTTTGTCTGTAGGATGCAGTTAAACACTGAACTCAGTAAGCAGTGTGTGCGTTCTGGTGATTTGGGGACAGCCGTCCACTGCAGGGCCATGCAGTAGAGGATTACTACTCAGTCTTCTCTCACAGCTGTTTGCTTGTCCTGAAGTTTATCATTACGCTCTATTTTCCATTATCAATAGTTCCTTTTTTGTCCACTTGCTCCATACTGTCACCTGTTCCTTCAAGCTCCTCTCCCCTCAAGGACCTCTTTCACAGAGCACTCTGCACGACATCCCTCTGGCTTTCTCTTCACTGATTTCCTGGGTTGGTTCCTCAGTTTCCCAAATGCCAGGCCTCGAGTTTCCTTCATTTACTCCTTTGCTTTGCAGCAGTACATTCTCAAATAGCTTCCTTAAAAAATAAAAGTTGCCTTTGTAGGAGGTAACATTTCAGAGTCCCTGCATGTCTGAAAATATCCTATTCCTGTCTTCTAACTTCAGTTTGACTGGGTATAGAATTCTAGGTCAGCATTTTGTCCCTCAACCAAAGCAAGTCACCACGATAGACTGGACACGGAAGCAGATAGGGGACTCCAGCTGTCTTCTACTAAGCCAGACATTGAAAAGACTTCCAAAAATGTTATTTGTCATTAAAATGTCATTTGTGCTAACATGTAATGGGTTTATTATTTTTTAATGGATTAATACATTTAAATTTTTCTTCTAAATAATAATTTTCACTCAAAACTTAGAAGGCATTGCTGTCCGAAACCCAGTGCTGCAGATAAGAAAGCCACTGCTACTCTACCTCTGTTCTTCCTGAGATGACCTGTGTTATCTCTGGAGTCCTTTAAGCTCTCCTTGGCAGCCTGACACATCACAGCAGTACATCTGGGTAGTGGTCTTCTTCCCTTGTCCTTGGCACTCAGTGTGCCCTCTTACTCAAAAGATTTGTGCCCTCAGTTCAGGAAAATAATCCTGTGTTGTTGTGGGGTGTTGTTTTTTTTTCAATCATTTCCTTCCCTCTGTTTCTCTGTCCTAGGTGTCTGGAACTCCAGTTATCAGACATTGCCCCTCTTTAACTGATTCTTTTGCCTTTTCCTTCTATTTGTCTTCTTACTCAACTTCCTAAAGTATTTCTTCAAATTTGTCTTCCAACTTTTCTTTGAACTTTCTTTTAGCCATGTCATTCTTAATTTCTAAGTGCTTTCTTCTTCCCTAATCATTATTTTTTTCACAGCATCCTGTTCTTGGCTAATGAATATATCTTCTAGAATCTCTGTGGATACTAATTCAAGGTGTGGTTTTTTTAAAGTTCCATTTTGCTCCCCAAAATAATCCATTCTTTTCAGGGTCATGTTTTCTGTTTATTTGTTCTGTCTCTTTCATGCTGGAGGATTTCTTCAAATATTTGATGATCCTTGACTTCCCTTCACATGTGAAAATGAAACAAAAAAGCTGAGAGAGAATTCTGTGCTTGCAGGTGGCCTTGTGAGCTTAGGGTGACAACCAAGGAACCAGTTGGTGATCTACAAGGGTGACTCCTACATACCAGATGGGATGTTCTTGGCTCAGGGCCACTCAATTTCTTTAGAGAGAATCCTCCAGTGTATTTCTTTTTCCCCTGAAGGATGTGTGCGTGCAGTCTGGGGCGCTGGGAAATGGAGGATCAATTCCTACGATTCCTATATTCATCCACTGGATCTTAGCCCCTCTGTAATGCCCCCACCCTACCACCCTCCCCCGCCCCCTGAGCTTGGTGTTTGCACGTTCAGCTCTGAAAGGAGATTATACCAGGAGGTGGCACTCTAACAAATGACCATCTCTTCAAGCCGATCATCTCTGCTCCATTAACAACCAAAGTCTCTACTTAAAGTAGCTTCTGTTACAGTATAATGACTTTTATCAAAAGAAAAAATAGATTATATTCTACTCCTTCTCTATATTATGTTCTTCTCTTTATCCTATTTCTCCTCCTTCTCACCCTCCTCCTCGTTCCTTCTTCTCACTTCTCCAAGCCAGAAGCTGGCCAAAAGCACCATTTGCATTTGTTTCATTGTTTCTTGAGGCATCAGAGAGAGTTACAAATAGTGGAGGCCAGCCTGGGGTGCAGCAGTTAAGTTCACGTGCTCCGCTTCTGCGGCCCTGGGTCCGAGGGGTCAGGTCTTGGGCACAGATCTCTGCACCACTTATCAAGCCACACTGTGGCAGGGATCCCACATATAAAGTACAGGAAGATGGGCACAGACGTTAGCTCAGGGCCACCTTCCTCAGCAAAAAGAGGAGGATTGGCAGCAGATGTTAGCTCCAGGCTAATCTACTTCAAATAATAATAATAATAATAATAATAATAATGAACTCCCTTCTATTTGCTGATTGTGGCACTCGCGTCTTCACAGTCCATCAGGTGGCATCATTTAACATTCTAACAGCTTCATCACGATTACCAAAACCAAGGATTTTATTACATTGAATATGCTCCTGCCATATGGTTTTGAAAGACAAGACATTTCTCAGAAGAAAGACTAGTTTAAGAGATTTGAATGTTAAAATTCCCCCACAGTATTATAGATTTTGAAGTTCTTTTGCTCCAAAGATGAACTTCTGGCAGCTTACTTCTCCTGCTTGAGGACGGATTTGAATGCGATCCTTTATGTTCAGAACATCTCAACCCCCCTCTCTCCAGTCTTTCGGCAGGCTTGTAACTTGGGATCTGGGCCCCACTCTGATATCAGCCCAGGGGCTTGTTTCTACTCATAAACATTTTGCACTGAGGAGCTCTCTAAGGCCCATGGTTCTGGCTGGAATTGCTTTTTTACATTCAATTTGATCCTTACTCTCACAGTTGAATTTAAATTCTAGCAGAATGGACTAGGATCCCTGCTTCTGGACTCCTTGCAGCCCCTTCTCTGCCTTTTGTCTGAATGCCAATAGCAAGGGGCAACTTGGGTCTCAGTGGTCCCTTGAGTAAAGGCCTTGTTGGCTTGAGTTCCTGCTTTCATCCGGACATCTCAGCTCTCGTGGGAAATCCCTCTAATGTCACAGATTATCAGGTTTCCCAAAGATTGAGAAAAGATGCTTCCACCAGGAGACGTTTGAAAAGTGGGAAATTTGAGAGTCTATTAGATGAGATTTTTTTTTCAGAGATTTAAGATCATTCTGTTCAGTGATTATAAAAGTCAGAATGGACCAATAGCTCGAGGTGAAAAGGCTCCATCTGAAATATCTGAGGGGCTTGGAGGCCAGGCAGGAAGCCAGGTGTACAGATACAAGAGTCTCTTTCAAAGCTTCGAGAAGCTGGTGCTAAATGCCAGCCAAGGAAAGAAGCAAACGCGTGTGCCAGCCTCCCCACTGAGGGCCTACGAAGCACCACGTGCTTTTTCATGCTGAGGGTTCAGGAGTCAACAGGCAGACGAGGTTACTGCTCTTATGGATCTCGTATTCTGATGGGGGAAATTAAGAAAAGAAGAAATGAAGGAAGGGAAGAAAAATGTCAGCTGATAATAAAGGCTATGTGATGAATTAAAACAGGGCAACTGAACAGCAATGGCTGGGGCTTCTTCATGTTGCACGGTCAGGGAAGGCCTCTCTGAGAGGGTGAGATCTGAGTAACAAGGAGACAGTTATACCAAGTCCACCTCTTCCAGACACGCACAGGCAATGCAGGTGATCCTGTGAGGTGTGTGCTGTCACCATCTTCCAGATGAAGAGGACATAGAAAGTTTAAAATAAATTATTCGTGGTCACCCAGCTAGTAGAGAACAAAATCAACCCAGTGCTTCTACCCTGCATGGCTAGCTCTGTATCTTCACTAGACAGAAAGAAGCAGAAACAATTCTCAGGAGATTCAAGGGTTTTCTATCTGGACTTATACTCTGATCTTCCCCAGGCAGCAACAGTGGGTGGTTATAGGTAAATCAAACGTGGGTTTTCTGAGAGAAACTCTTTAAGGGACACAGACCTACAGCTATGATATAAGAGCTGCTGGCTGGCACTGCAAAACTCTACGAGCGTCATCCACAGGGGTGACAATGTGAATAGCACCTCCTGGAGTTGCAACAGACCCTTAGATGCTTCCTATCCCGTGTGGCGTACTGCAGAGTCAGCATCTAAGGTGTAGGTTGAGTCTGAAATATCAGATGAGTTTTCATTTTTCTGAAAAGGCAAAGGAAAAGATCCTACATCATCATCTGGTCAAGAACTCCAGCATCTCCCGAGGCTGATATCAGAGGACCACTTGCAAGGCTGATCCTGAACAGCTCGCCTTCTTTGGTGCATAGGAAATGAAGGGAGAGCTGGATCTATTTTTCTTCTCCTCTAATTCCCTAGTGCACCTTTCTCCAGAGCTTCTAACAAAACCTCATAATGCTATCCTCCATGACTGCTGTTTTAAAACGTTTGTTCTGGTGGGCATACGGGAAATATAATTAAAAACAAATCCCCTCCCAACCCAGAAAACCTCTCCACAAAGGTAGAAGAGAAAGCAAACAATTTTATTATTGAATAAGTATTAAACCAGATTGTGATGTGCATCTCAGGCAATTCACTAAGAGATCGCAAAGATAGAAAGGAATCTTACCCTTTTACAGAGCCAAGCAGATACAACCCATTACATAGGTGTTCTCAAGATAAACAATAACTAGTCCTCAAGTAAAAAGACTTGACAGCACCATTTGTCACGCATAGCTCATCTTAAATTCACTTGGCAGCTGGGGTGGCCATCTGTGTTAACTGATTGCCTTTGTCCAAAGGAAACATAAGCTTCTCGTCTCTTTATGGCAGGAGGCAGTTCTGCAGCTCGGAGGCTCCTATTCTCCCACAGGAGCTGGCAGGTCGGGCATCAGCTTCCTCAAGGTGACATTTTTAAGAGACAGTTCCCAGGTCCTTGAGAAAGATATTCCTAGGTCTTAAAGCTGGCAAAAGGCTTATTTAGCTTTAAAAAAAGATTTGCATACATTTCAAAGGGAGACAGAGAAACAGCTTACACAATGACAAGTTTTCTAAAGTAAAGGTTCTAAGGAAAGGGAAGGAGCAAGTCTCTTTTTATTTCAACAGAAGAAGTAAGCCCCTTATTTTTAATTTGTATTTGCCCTTACACGGGCATGAAGAAACCACTGGAAAAACTTTGTTTTAAAATGGTTCTTTGAAAAAATAAATTATGAAATGCTTCTAAGGGTGGAAAAGCTACAATTTCTTAAAGCAGAATCTTGAGGGGAGATGAAAACCACTGCTCTTGGTGACGTAAAGCCACTTTATGCAAAACGGTTGGCACATTTTTAAGTAGCTTCAAAAGTCAGCAATTGTGCAACCAATAGCAGTTGCTATGGTAGCAAAAGTTAGTGTTATTCTAGGCTATTTGGTGATGAATTGTCTGGAGCTGCTGCTGGCTGCAGGAAGTCATATTTTCTGTGTGGATTTGTTAGTTTTTATACCATATTAAGGGCAGGAAGAGGCTGAGCGGACTGTGTGGAAAGCAAGCTATGAAAGCAGGGCATATACAACATGAGGTCTGAGCAGCAGTAAATCACAAATCAGAGAAATGTTGAAAATTAGAAGCACCTGGGTTCCTCCTGTCCAACCAATCCTTACTGAGGACCGGGCTAGGGTTGGAACGGGAGACGGCAACTTAGTGGTTGCTCTTAGTGTGGAGAGCACACAGCAACTGTGTGCTGCACAGAAATTTCCTGATTGTATGCGTGATCTCCTCCAACCCCTCCAATCACTCAGCAGGATATGCACCATTTCATTCATTTTACAGATGAGGAATCGAAGGCTTATGAAAATAAAGGTGGCGTGTCCAAGATCATGGAGTTAGTGGCAGAGTCAGGAACAGAATCTAGCCTTTCACTCTTAAAGTGGGAAGAATTGGTAGTATTGATCTGCAAAGAAATTCAGGGAAGAAATCTGTTTACTGGAGGAAGGAGTGGTTGGTTTCAAAGTTAGAGGAGGGAATAGAATTAGTATCATTGGTGAATTTCAGTGCAGGTTATTTAGAGAGAAAGAGAGGGACAAAAAAAAGAGAGCAAGCTGACGGCACAGACGAGTGCTTCACTAGAATATAAGTCACAAGAGGGTAAGGATTGTGTCTGCTTCCTTTACCATTGTATCTCTAGGCCTTGGAATAGCACTAGGCAGACAAAAGATCCCCAATAAAAAGTTGTTGAATGATTCTTGAATGAATTCTTGCAACAACACAAAGCTGAGAGAAGAGCACAGGGGGAGTTTAACCAAGTACATTTAGGGTCTGAGTAAAGATGAAAATAACACATTATCAAGAACTGTGACAAGTCTAAGATATCCTACTTACAAGCTACCAAGTTAGCCTGTCACAGTTTCAAGGATGCTGGCAGAAAACAGAAGACTCCTGGGTCAGAGACAAAGGACTTTGTGACTCTTAGTGATAGCAATGCCAGAATATCAGCATTTTTTTTTTTTTTTTTTTTTGTCTCACAGAGTGACATAAAGAGGTGTAGGTGACACTTGCATTTCAGGAGAAGAACCCTGAATTAGGGAACCTGAATCTTTTTTAATTGGCAGTAAACATGCCCGCCCTTCGCTTCAGAGGGAGACACTATCTCTATCTCCCAGGGCCATTCACTATGTAGACACAAAAAATCCATAATCAATCTATAAATCAAAATTGGAGTGAGTTTATCATGGGCCAGATCTGAGGACTAGCCCAGGGTCTTCCTTCCCCAAAGGAGGAAGGGCACCAAAGAAATGGGGTGTACAGAGTGGTTATATACCTTCTTGGAACAAAGAGCATACATCACATATGATAGGAATGTCCCTTTTACGATTGTCATGAGATGCTTAGCTGGCACAGCACGTTGGTGGTCACAAGGGGAGCACAGCAGGTCAGTCATTAATCCTTAGTTTAGGAAAAGATGCTTATCCTTAAAGAAATGCCAATATGGGGGGAAGTTACATCCCTATCTTTAAGGGTATCACTCTTATTTTGGGGACATAGTATGTTTAAAGCAGACATACAACAATGCATGCTCAACAGGGCACATCAGGCCCTTTTGGAGAAACAAGGTCAGGCCAAATTAATTTTAACCCAAATGCCTTTCTCGTATACTCCAATATATCCTTTGCTTGTCATTTATTTATCGTTCCCCCCTCCCCTTTGATCTATAATCTTTCAATAGAAAGCACTGATGATCAAAATATTGTCCCTTGGTGCCAGGGTGGTTACTGTCTGCCTTGGGTCCATCATGTCCCTCATTGCTTTTATCTCATTTATTTTCCCAGTTGTCCACATTAGGGGGAAGTAGTCAGACAAGCATAGAGGTATACATTAACAGAGGAAGCATTTCATAGATTATATAATTTTTCAATTAATTTTAGGTTGTTGCATAAACATTGTACATGTGCTTTTACCTGATTCCTTATGTTCACATTGTTTACAATTATAAAAGATTCATTTAAGACATTCACTTGCTTTTTCATGTGCTTTAGCAGAGAGGACACACTGGAAGATTTACCACATATAAAAGCACAGCATTCAGTTTGAATAATTATATATGTACCACCTTGGGATGCAGTTAAAATATCTAACGCCATTCTATTTTGAAGAACAGTCTTTCCCATTCAAGACATTTTAGTATTTAATAAGACTATTCTTTCTTGACTATCATTAAGGGCTTGTTGAGTAAATTTAGTCAGGACTTCTATATGTGATATGACATCCTCTAGCCCCAAAGAAGCAACAAATATAGCCATAGGTGGCCATACCGGTGGAACACTGAATGAGCCCATCTGGCCTTAAAGAGAAGAAGATTGGCAACTGGTGTTAGCTCAGTGTGAATCCTTCCTTGCATCCAAGGGAAGCTCCGGGTGCAGTGTTTTAGCCATCCAGGCAGTAGCCAAGGCTAGAGATTTGTTCCACATGACCACCAAGTTCCATTAGGAGCCACCCAATAAATGCTTGGCCTTTGAGACCAGTCTGTTCCAAATCAATCACTTTCTTTAAGTATGATAGTATTCTGAAAACCTTAAATGGAACATTATAAAATAGGTATACAGTTTAAGCATTACAAAGGTTTAAATGAGGAGCTACAAGGTCGAGAATACAGACCTGGTCTGGAGTCTTGGGACGGCTGTCTACAACAGATGCCGTCTTCTTCTCATCCTGTTTTGGAGATATTTGCATTGATCAGTTCAAGTCAGGTATCAAAAATAGGAACTGAAACCCACTCAGGTGGAGAAGCCTTTTTTAAATGAAAAATGTGAATGCCTTTTGATTCTGTAGTGCATGAATTGGTTAAAAGTACTTGGTATGGTCCTTTCCAACAGGGCTGCAGAGAGTCTTTTATTTGATGCCTCTTCTGATAAATTCTCCAGGTGAGTCCATGAACCTCAAGGTCTTCATCTTCCAGGAGCTCTCTGTGAAAAGAATCAGCTACCAACCTCTCATTTCTTTTAAGTGTCTCAATGACATTTGGCAATAATTAAGATATCTCAGGGGGCAGGCCCAGTGACATAATGGTTAAGTTCACACACTCCAATTTGGTGGCCTAGGGTTCAAGGGTTCAGACCCCAGGTGCAGACCTACACACTACTCATCAAACCATGCTATGGTGGCATCCCACATATAAAACAGAGGAAGATTGGCACAGATGTTAGCTCAATGATAATCTTCCTCAAGCAAAAAAAACAGGAAAATTGGTAACAGATGTTAGCTCAGGGCCAATCTTCCTCACCAAAAATAAATAAATAAATAAAAACAATTAAGACGTCTCCTTTAAGCAAAGTTGGTTAATACATTCCTTTATCTAATTGCATAGGCCATCCAGTTATTATCTCAAGAGGAGACAGCTGATGTTTACCAAAGGGTAAGGTATAAGATTGAGGAGCACTAGCAGAAGAGCTCTTGGCCATGAGAGATCAAACGCTTCTGAAAGCTTTGCCAACCGAGTGTTGACTGTGCTGTTAGTTAAAATGTTGTATTGCTGGCCAAATGTCACAAATAGATTTAATTATTTGTCCAGCGAAATGAGTTCCCAGGTTGCTGTATAACTCAGTAGGAATTCCTCAAACAGGAATTATCCTTTCCAATAATAATTTACCTAAAGCCATCACTCTTCTGTAAGTAAAGGCCTCAACCCAATGTGAGAACATACAGATCATTACCAAGGTACATTTATCCTTGAGATGGCGGCATTTGAACAAAGTCCAATTGCAAAGAGGAAAGTGGCCTTGTGATTCATGAAATAGTTTTCCTAGATTATGTTTTGGTCATATAGCACAATGAGTATAGGTTTTATGAGGTACTGTAGGAGAAAGTATCTAAAAGTATTGTTTTCCCCCTTTTGTTGCCACCTTTGTTTCTCTTCTTCTTTAGTGATTTCTTGAGCCTATAGAAGGAAATCTTTTACTCGGTTAGCAGAGTTAATAGAAAGTAGCAGGCATTCTCGAGGGTAGACAGCATATCCAGCCTGATAACATCCTTGCTTATCATTGAAGTAAGACCCACATGTAAACCAAATTAGATAATAGAATGCAATGATGTTGGAAGCAAGGTAGCAGGGTTAAGAGAGTGAATAATATTTATCTATACACTATAACCTAAGAAGGTTTATCATCATTCACTTGACAATGCTTCCCATGCAATTTAGCACCAAACAAGCCTAATTAGTATCTCCCTCTTTATAGAAGAGAAAACAAATTTCTTTGAGAAGTCCCAGGGGCCCTATGAAAATTCTCCGAGAAAGCTTTCTTTTTTTTCTTAAGTCCAAAGAAAGACTTCATTTAGGATATGAATTTTGGGGATCCTGTCAAAAATATCAAAAGGTTTTAAAACATTTGGTCAAACAAGATCAAGGGGTTGCTGATCTTGTCACTGTGAAACAAGGGACACTGTGAAACAATGCTTAGTTATCCATTCAACCAAAGTAAGACTCACTCAAAAGTAAAGAAAATCTTCTATAATCTCTTCATCAAAAGCAGGCTAAAAGTCCAGGAAAATTATCCTTTTTAAGAGAAAGAGAAAAACAAATTCTAATTTGTGTACCAGCTTACTTCTGATATTAAAACTCATTTACTTAATTAGATTTACTTCGATCTTAGCCAACTTGACCATCCATAAAATTCTTTTTTAGAGTTTGTTTTCAACAAACCTCCTATAACTTTCTTTTCACATTCAGAATTTGCCTTATGCCTTTCCTTTTTTTTTTCCCTCCCGGTACTCTGAGGCAAATTTATCTTTCTTAAAAAAACAAACAAAAATATTTCCATTCTTTATACCTTCCTTACCCAAAACATACATCTTTCCTTGAATACAAAGATGTTTTCCTTATCAATTTTTAGTAGCTTTAATCACATACATTAATTTGAATTTTTAACCCTTATTTATACACCATAATTTTTAGTGAAAACTAAGAAATAAGCAACAGTAAACTTTCTTTTACATTAGCATTTTGTGGCTTGGCAAATTTATAAATACCTTTTGTAATTTCTAGAAACATGTTACTTCACAGTAACTTTAATAAAATACAAGACACGCTTTCTAATAGACCCAAACACCTTTTAGTTTCTCTGGAATAAGAAGCCAAAAGTAGATAAACTTACACATGTTTAGTAACAAGGTTTCAGTATTTTATCTTATTTGAAAATGACCTAGATATTCAATGAATTTTTATCATTTAACTTCACCTAGTAAAACTTCAAAGTTTCAAGTTACCAGAGAGATTTTGGAAGTTACCTTTAATATACATGCCATAACACACAATTATTCTAAAAAGTTCACCCAACATTTTTATTTTTTTTCACATCAGTTTAGTTTACTCATTCCCAATAATTACTTAGATTGCCTACAAAACTTCATGAGACATTAGGCAAAATTAGCCATTATTTCAAGTTATTATTTTTACTAACCAGTTTTGCAATAGAGATAGCATCAGTTTATTTTACCAATAAATGTAGAATAAAGCCTGCATCATACCCAAACACTGACTACTCTGAGGGCATGCCTATTTCAATCAAACCAACAAATTTAAACAAGCTTTCATTACCAAAGATTATTTCATATCACATTAACTTGAAAGACATTTGGGTTAGCTGCATTTAGAAATAATTTATGTAAGCACTTACTTTAAGCCAATTAAATAGAGCTCTTTAGAAACCATACCATCTGGAGATAAAAATATCACACATACATAACATACATATAGACACACATACGTAGAGACTCCACAGCTGTTATTTTAAAATTACTACCATAAATCAGGTACACTAATAGGAAGCTCCCTAGCTATCAATCCAAATTTTGTTTTAAGCTTTTTTTTACTAACATTTTTAGAGAAGACACTCAAGATGCTAGATTTGGGGCATGGGTGCTCTTATGGCCATTTTTCTGACTTCTTTTTTTCTTCAGTTTTAGGAATTGGTGACGAGCTAGATAACAGTTCCCAGAGAGGCGAGGTCGTAATCCTGTCTGAGATAAAGGAGCTGGGTGGAATCTGAGCCGCCTCCAGAGCTGCTTTTTCAGCCTTACATGAGATTGTAAGTTGAGGACAGTTGTTCTACCTGTCCAACCGCATCACCCTAGTTTGCTTTTTTCTCCCCTGGGTGCTTAGTTTTATTTTAATTTAGGGAAGAAGGCCTAAAAAATTCCTATCAGGCTCTGAATATCAGCTTCCAGTTTGGCCAAATTCCTGGTCCTAAAGTTGCTAAATCCTTTCAAATACCTTGCCAGGTTTCAGCCAGGACAAACAGTACCTACCTGGTGGGACTGAACAGTTCCAGTAATCTTTAAAATATCATTTTCCCAGAAAATCTCTCAGAGTCTCATTAACTCAGAGAGTAGATTATAGGGGTGTCTGTAAAGTCATGGTCTATATTTTCCTTTAGGTACCTTTCCTTTATAATTTCATTTTTATTAGCTTTTGGCAACAAATCTTTCAACAAGGTTATTTTGGAATTTTGAAGTCTTTGCTTTTAAGTGCACTTATGAAATGATCTTATCTAATTAGAACATTCCTTCTAATGGCCAATGTAATTCCCCTGAGGCTGGTGGCAGTTTGGTAAGACCCTTAACCACGAATGGAAGACAACCCATGTTTCGTTTCTGTCTGACCATCTCTGACGGCAAAAAGAGGTTCAACCACAATTTGTCTGACCATATTTTCGGACCACCAACCTGGCGATTATTAAGCCAAGACCTCAGGACAAGAAACAAGCTTGGTAAGATTTTTTTCTTTTTGTGTTGTTCTTTATAAATATTTATAGCTTCCAGAACCCTTAGTTTGAGGAATTGTGCTGGCAGTTGGCAAGCTGGACTCTTTAAAAATTTCTCTGTTATCTGGCTCTTGAAAAGGAGCCCCACAGTGGCCGCTGTAATTTTAAACTATCCCAGTCATCTTGTCAGCCATTTACAGTTATCCTTATTTCGTCAAGCACTTGGAAGCTTCAGTATGAAGCCAGCCAGGGTTCTAAGGAGAGGCTGCCCATTCAGGTCAGCCTTTAGAAGCTTGATTTTCTGCTTTTCTTTCAGTTCATTTTACTTTAAAGTCTGAAAACTTTCTAGGGACAGTTTAAGGAGCTGGTATCCCTTCTCTTCGGAGCTGAACAAGTTCAGACTCTCACTTCTCTATCAAGCAGTTCGTTCAGACTTTACAAACATGATTCTTTTCAATTTAAAGCCAAATTAAAAAGGTCAACTTGCCCCATTCACTCCAAAGTTTCCCCTAGCCTCCCCTGGCCTAGGATATCCCCCGTAGGTTCCTCTTACCTAGAGTATGTACTGGTACCCCCTTAAGCCATTTAGTCTTAAGGTTTGAAACAGCTCTTATAAACTCTGAACCATCGACTTAAAATACGGAGGTCCGGGTTTCAGGAGAACTCACCGGGGTCACCTAAAGAATGCAGTGATCCGGGGGTGTGTTCAGTGGGCCCCTATAGGTATGACTGCTGGTTCAGTGTAGATTCCAGGTTGTCTCTGTTGGGTTTCTCTGCAATCCTGCTGCGACTACACTAAGAACTCTGTAGACATCATTGAAAAATCCAGTGTAGAACAAGGGCCTCTGCCTATAAGACATGCAGCAATGTCAAAGTCCCACAGAGAATTACCTCCCAACAATAAACTAGCACTATTTGACAATCACTGTCCCATGCACACAGCAGCTTCTTACCTCAAGCCCTGGAGACTCTCCACCCAAAGGCTTCCTCTGGCTGTGGGAACATGCTCAGCTCACTCTCAGAACAGGTCAGAAGGCAGAGGAGCGGGCACCCTGGGGATAGTCTGGACCAGTGATGAATAAGAGTTGGTAGACAAACACCCCAGCTACGTGGCCCCTCTGGTGAGACTGGGACAATTCTGAGGCATGTTCCACACCATCTCCCATTGCCCACAGTGGTGACCTGTGATTGTTAACATACACGATATGGACCCGCTTCCCTTTCCTGTCTCACCTTCTCACTTCCATGCTGGTGTTTCCTGGGATCACTCCCAAGTTAACTATGCATCCTCAAAGTCTAGTCTCAAAGTCTGCTTTGTGGGGAACCCAAACTAGGATGATTGATACAAGAAGTGCCCCAAGGGAGCAGACACTCAGGCTGAGATTCTGGAATTGGACCTCTCACTGGCCTGGTGGAAAAAAAGGATCTGAATTCTGCCAGTAAGTATGGTGGTAAGAACCCATGCTATGCTCAATATCTCAGTTACTACACAGGAGGAAGGGGATGAGCAGGCTTCAGCAGTGGGTCTGGCACTTGAAAAGTAAGGGGATGATGGGAATTACAAGGATAACAACAATGACTGTTATGAACAGCCATAGAAAGCAAGCCCAGACCACTGCTGTCATGCACTCATCAGCTCCTTACTTCCAACACCAGTGCTCCCTGCCTCGGGGTTCCTCTGGCCTTAAGACCATGCTCAGCACCCATTCAGTACAGGACATAGAGCTGAAGCCCCTGGATCAAGCCCTGGGAGTTATACCTTGCTCCTCTGGAAAGACAACTCTAAGGCATGTTCCACATGCCTCCCAGAGGTCCCCAGCAGGAATGAGGCCCAGTTCCCCACAGCGGCAACCTATTCACTAACACCCTACATTGGCTTCCTTCCTCCATCTGTCTTACTTCCCTACCTCCCTTTGGTATGTCCTGGAATCATCTCCCAAATAAACTACCCACACTCAAATCCTGGTTTCAGGGCCTGCTTTTGGTAGAATCCACTCTAAGACACCAGTATAATAACTTTCTATGCCTCCTGGTCCACAGGCATAGCTTCAAGTTCAGAGGAACTCTCACTGTGGGCCCTGATGGAACCATTCCACACTTTGAGAAACAGGACCTCTAATCCAACCAAATCAAAGTTTACAGGGAAGGAAGCACAGCCTTCTTAAGTGTGTCACTGGAGCGATAGAGAGAGCAACTATTCCTCCTTCCCCTCTCCTCCGCTCCCCAGACCTGCGCATTTTAGCTACTGGCAACACAGCTCTACCAATTGCTTATCCATTCAGTGTGCATATTGCATCCTGGACTTCAGCACACCAACCCTGCAGGTCATTCCACTATTATATTAGGCTGGTTCCTTCCAGCTAATGGGATGTATGGGAAGGCCAGTGGAAGCCATTGCGTGTGCCATTATCAGTACTTTATCCATAAAATTGGTCCCTCATGTTGAGGCCACTTTATTCAGAATACCATGTCATTTCTGTCAGTCCACATATGGGAGTGCTGGCAGCCACACTGTAGACAGAGAAGGCAAACCCATATCTGCAGTAGATAAAAATCTAAGAAGAACAAATTGCTGCCCCATTAGGAGAGGAAGGGGTCTGATGTAATCAAGCTGTTACCATTGGCTGGCAGCCTTCCTCAGACAATGATGCCTTATGTAGGGCTCAACATCACTCTCACTTTTATTCTCACTGATCTATGACAATTCTTAATATACAAATGCTATTAATAATTTGCCATATATGCAATAATATTTTCCCCAGTTTTATTTTGCCTTTAAGTTTTATTTTTGATGAGTTTGTAGATATAGAAGTGTCTGATTTGGGGTTTGGGTAGATCTATCAATACTTTCCTTTAGGTTTTTGCCTTTGTTGCTGTGCTTAGAAAGCTTTCCTCATTCTGAGGTTATATAAATTTTCACCAGTATTCTCTAGTCTACTGATGACTTCTTTTTCCTTCTTCCTTTTTGAACATTTAGATGTTTCATCTATTTGGCGTTAGATAGGGATCTAATTTTGCCCCCAAATGATTAACCAGCACTTCTAACATTGTAAATTGTATCACCCAATCTTTCATCACTGGTTTGAGATGCTGTCATCTCCACATGCTAAATTCTTCTAGATTCTTGGTCTGTGTTGAGATTTTCTCTTCCATTCCACTCATCTACCAATTCATACACCATAATAAACTGTTTCAGTTGTCACAGCTTAAGGCACTTCAGTATCTGGTGGGAAAGCTCCCCTTCTTTATTAACAATCCCTAAAATTTTCCTCGCTATTTTGCATATCTTTTTAAAAGGAGGCTTCAGTAAGAATTGGTGAGAACTACTCTGAAGCATCAGAGCTAGAGGAAAGAGGGAGAGGTTCCAGGATTAGTGGGAAGGACATGAGGGCTAAGGCCTGAGGAAATTGTGATCCAAGCCACACACGGCTTGCCTCAGTCCAAAAGAGAAGATCCGGTTGTGGTGGGGGTTTAGCCAGCCCTAGGTGAACTGCCCTCTGATGGAGAGTGAAGGTCTTCACTTGCACATTGAGAGGCAGAAGGGTTCGCCAAGCCATAGGTCAGGTTATGCACTGTCCCAGCAGTTGTAGAAGGCTCAGGAACCTCCGGGAAAACTATTTTTGCCTAAGTCTGTAACTACAGGAGTCAGGAAGGCAACATGTCAAAATAGAAGCTACAGAAGGGTTTGTTTGGAGAGAAGGATTCAAAATATGAAAGCTTTTCATAGATTTCCCATTGGAATCCTTTGAGAGAGCTGGGGCTAGGTTGTAAAAGAAACAGAGACCCACTAAATTTAAGGGAATAGATTGCCCACCCACTGAGGTGACCAGAGAGTGGCCACCAACTCACAAGGAAGCAGGTCTCCAGAGCAGGCTGTGTGGGAACTGCCACTAAATGGTGAGCTGCCACATCTGAACGGGAATATGGACCAAAAATGTCAGGGCTTGGAAAAGAATGAAAGAGTACATCGAAAACTCTGTCCTCTGAGTTTGTTGGACAGTTTGACAGGTTAGAGATACACTGTAAGAGCTGTAACTTCCCACAGGGAAAGAGGGCAGGTTGAGAGCCATCCTATGTCTATAGATGTGTCTGATGTTTTTCCCTTTCAAGTGGGAGTTAAAATTGCAAAGAGAGCGAAGAATGCTGTTGCTGCAGAAGCAGGCTGTGCAAGAACAGAGACCATGTGCTGGCGAACAAGGGCCTGTCTGATCCATGTGCTCAGTGATTTAGGAGTCCCTCTGAAACATTGTAATATTGCTCAGCTGGAAAAATGCAGTCACCGTACAAACCTTGGGAGGTTCTACTGGGAGTGTGTGTTTGTTTTAAATGAATACAACAGATTTGATTTTTTTTAATGTTTTTTTTCCTCATGAGGTATATACCGATTAGGAAATAATTTGTTTCTAAAATGATTCTCTGTGTTTTCAAAGTCACGATGTTAACTGAACTTTTTGAACATTTTCATTATGAAAATAAAGAGAGAATGTGAGAAATCTAAATTCAGCTTTATAAATCTGTGTGTTTACTGGATTTTTTTTTTTTTTTTTTGGCATCACATTTAAAGGCATTTGGATATGCACTGTGGTTTGTGAATAAAATGGGTGAACATTTGTTTTATCAGCTCTGTAAGGTGACATGAACAAAGACGTTTAATACTGTATTGTTTAAAGTGGCAGGAATTGGAGGCTGTCTGGGTGTTCGTCCGCAGCAGAATGAACAGGTGGAGCTGGAAGATGCACATCAGAGTGTTCCATAGCAGTCAGAAGCGCCAGGTTAGATTTTCATACAGCTCCGTAAGAAGATCTTAGAAACACAATGTTGAGTGAAAAAAAGCAATAAACAATTGGATTTATAACATAACACCAATAACAGCAATTAAAAATACATATCCACAAAACAACAATGCACATTTACAAGAACACATACATACAAAATAATACACATTAAGCACATTAGACGGCCTCCTGTGGGGAGGAGGGTAATGAGAGTGCGGAATGTGGAGAAAAAGAGAATAAAAGAAAAAAGACTAGTCTACAATAGTTTTTCAATTTCTTTTCCTTTTATGTCCACTTCATATTTAAATTGTGGTTTTTTTCCTCCTCTAAATCAGGAAAAAAGCCTACCACCCACAATATTCTAGGAAGAGAGATGAATATTCACCATCTAACTTTTGAAATTGAAATTTATTTTGTGATTCAAGAAGAAGATGGTGGGAATAAATAACAGCTAGGGAATCTGATCCATAAAATTTGGAAAACAAATTAGGTTTTATTAATAAAATTTGAACTGGGTATATTCATCAGTTTTGGGTATTTATTTACTTGGTGATCTTAAATTTGGATGGGGAGAAATTTTAATTAGTCGTTTTGCTTATTTTTATAGGAATTAAATTTTTTCCCTGTGGTTTGGGTAGGCACTCACCACTGGATGCAAAACCCATTGCTCAGATAGGGCCATTTTCATTCGGTAATGATTTCTGCACACAAACAGCAATGGAACTCCCTGACACACACTACAGAAGGATCCATCTCTAACACTGTTTTCTGCTTCTGTTGTTACGTGGCCCTGGGATTGCAGCTGCCTCTGTGCCTTTTCTGATCTGGTCCTCAACAGCCTAGACAAGACTGTCAGCAGCACCTGGGTCCAGCAGAGCCTCCTGCTGTGGCAGGACTTCCAGCTCAGACGGGTTGGCAGAGGGATCTTGAGCTGGCCCATTACTCAGGGTTCCCTGTGCCTGCCTAGGCAGGGCCCACAGAGTTGGGCATTCCATTTCTCCTCTTGGGTGAGAAGTCAGAACACCACAGTGAGACAACACACTCACCACCCTCCTTGCTGAGGCATCCAGTGACAGTGATGGGAAGTTCTGCTGGGCAGCTCCTTCGGACATGCTGCTGGAAGGCCCATGGGGCCTTTCAGCAGGAGAATGCCCTTCCACAGGAGAGGCACTTACCTCTCTGCCACTCCTATCAAGCCCAGAAGCAGAGAGGTAGCACTCATTGTCCTAATGCCCCACTTCCTCAAACTGGTTAGTGAGTGTCTTTTGGTAAGCACCCTCTCAACTTACAGAGGAAGGGGGTGCAGTGTCAATAAGCTTAGGGAGCAGTAACTGCAAAGATGCTCATGACATAAGGGCATGCAAGGCCTAGAGTGCTATTTCAGTTATCCGTTGCTGAGTAACTGCTCAAAACTTAGTGGCTTAAAACAAGAACCAGTTTGTTTGCTGGAGATTCTGAGGGTCAGGAATTCAGACAGAGCATAGATGGGTGGTTCTTCTGCTCATACACTGTCCCTCCACTGCATTCAGCTGGTGACTAGGCTGAGTTGGAAGGTCCGAGAAGCCTTCACTCACCTGTGCAATGGCTCAGTGCTCCTCCAGTGGCTTACCTCTCTCTTCATGTGTGGTTTTCTTCATACGATCTCTCTCTCCAGCAAGATGGCTTCGACTTCCTTATAGCACAGCAGCTGGGTTGCAAGAGGAAAACCCCCGATGTACAAGCACTTATCAAGCCTCTGCTTGCATCATGTTTGCTAATGTCCCATTGGCTAAAACAATTCACATAGCTGAGCTCAGAGTCAACGCAGGAGGGCTCTACACCAGGATATGAACACTGGGAGGCATGGTTCTTTGGCAGCCACGAAAGTAACAGTCCACCACAAGTTCTAATTATAGTTCTTGCAGCCAGAAGAACCTGTTGGGTTAGGACAAGCAGGGACAGCCTACAGATCCAAGCAGAGGGAACCACTTGTTGCCCTGGAAAAGTCTGGAGTTTTACTGCTGCTAAAGAGCCTGGCCAGGTTGTTGCATGTAACTTCACGGTAAACAGCAGTAGGGCTTCTCCAGCCCAGGGACCATGACAGAAAGAAGACTCCAGAACTGGGAGTGAATGAAGGTGTCCTGAACAAGGCCAAAAAGGAAAGTCAGATCAAGGGTGAGTTCCATGAGTCTGGGAGGGGACCCATGCACCAGCGTGGGAAGTGAGAGGATGAACACCCCAGCTTCCTAGCCCCTCAGAGGTGTTCCACAGCACCTCCCAGAAGTCTCCAGCAAGACTGGGTTCCACAAGGTAAGCTGCTCATTGAGTTTCCATCCCTTCGCTGTCACACTTCTCCACTCCCCTATCAGGGCTTTTTGGGATCACCTCCCAAATAAGCCACTGACACTCGAATTGGTCCTCAAGGTCTGCTTCTGAGGAAACCCAGCTCAAGACCCTCAGGGCTGTGGACCACTAGATGATCTCAAGAGTCATTCCCAGCTTAAAAACTCCATGATCTGATCAGTGATGCTGAAGTGTGGACCGGCATTAAACAGCCATAGGCTTGATCCCAGCTCTGCCGCTCACCAGTTCTGTATGTAGACCTTTTGTTTCCCAAGATGGCCACCAACGACCCTTCTCATCCCTGTGTGCATGGCCTGCTCCTCTCACCAAGAGATAGAGTCTGTTGCTCCTCCCCTTGATTCTGGGCTGGCCTGATGCCTTGCTTTGACCAGGAGGAAAAAAAGAGATATTTTAGAACTCCTGAGCCCAGACCTTAAAACTTTTGTAGCATCCACTCCCTCGCCCATTTGGAAGCCAGCCACCACGTAAAAAGCCCTGCCACCCTCCTGGAGATACCTCCGTGGAGAAAGAACGGCTCAGCCAGTCCCCAGCTGTTCCAGCCATCCTGGCTGAGGGTGGGTGGGGCTGGGGGCTTTTGCGACGTCCAGGTGGGAAGAAGATACAGATAACTCCTCTGTATTTCTCTGAATAAAACGCAGGGCCTTTCTTTTGTTGCTTGGGCAAAGAGCTGCCTTGTGCCATCTGAGGAGTTTACAATCGTAAATGGCAAGGCTGTGCGCGGTATGGGTATTTGCGTGTGTGGTGTGTGGGCAGAGTGTGTAAAACAGGCTGCGCAGTCTCCCGCGACCTCACAGCCTCCCTCCTACAGCCCCGCACTCAGCCACACCTGCCCCCTCGATGCCCTGTCTGCTAAATCATCAAGCCTCCAGAACGGCTGGGCCCTCACTCTGTCAGCGTCTAACGCAACACTTGAGGCCAGCCGACGAAGCCTTTCCTCCCACGCCCTTTGGAACCGTCTAGTGTGTTAGCCTCTTCGATAACACTCTTGGTTCTCCTGGAGGATGCCCTTCCCTGGCATTCCGGGGCGGGGGGACGCTGCTCATCCTTGTGCGCGTGCACACACACACCCATCTCAAGGTACCGACGTTGGGATACAGCCTTCCACGGATAAGCATCATCTCCTCCGCCACACCACCAGCTGTAGGGCAGGGTAACCGCACCCGCTGCTCCAGAGGGTGGACCCTGATTAGTCTAAGCCAATCATCGGTCTCTTGCCAGTGATTGGTGCAGGAGTCAGCATGTGACCCAATTCTGGCCAACGAGATGTGAGGAGAGGTCTGCTCAGGGACTTCTGGGAAAGGATTCCTCGCTTCTAGGAAGGAGACTACGGAAAGAATGCCTGTTTTCTGCCGTTGAGCACTGATGGGCCTGAGTGTGATTCCTGGAACTGCTCCGACCATCTTGCAATCGTGAGGGTCGACAGTGTTTCGATGAAGTTGAGGCAGTGCAATGGAAGGAACCTCGATGATGTTACTGTATTATTGAGCCCTATTACACTGAAAAATCTCCTTCCTCTGGACTTCCTATCAAGTGAAATAATAGAGGCGTTATTATTTGTCATCTATAATCAAGATATCCTAGCTGAGGCAGCCCTGCGCTTCTCCCACCTCCTGGGGACTCCTCCCCTATGTAAGGCTCCTGTGTGGCTCCAGAGGGTGGGAGGCCACCAGGGTGTCCTACTGCCAGGACCTGCCTGCCAGATTGAATACCCTGGTACCACCACAAAACATATGTGACCTTGACCCTGATGTCACCCTACAGCCAGAACTGATGATGGCCACCAGTGCCTGTCCTCCAGAACCCTTTGCATGGTATTATCCAGTATTTCTCTCCAGCCTCACATCCAGACCTGCTTCACCGGGCTTCCTCTGCTTCAGGTACACTGTTAATCGATTCACTTAACAAACCTTTCTCCCCCACTTGACATGTGCCTAGCACTTTGTGAGGAGAGAGGACACACAGGTGAGGCAGGGGCAGCCCATGCCCTCAGGGAGCTCAGGGTCTGGTGAGAGACTAGGGTGTACATGACTACGGTATGAGGTGCCAGGTGCTTCGAGAGATGTATATGTGCATGTCAGAGACTTAAGGGGATGGACTCGGGGAAGCAAAGGAAGGTGTCACAGAAAAGTTGACATTGGACCTCTTTGGATGGATGAGTCAGGTGGATGGGAGAAGGACATGAGTACATTCTTGGCAGCCTCTTTTCCTCAACCCAACCATGCAGTTCCAGATCTCTGTGCCTTTGCATCAGCTGTTCCCCCTGCCTGGAATGCCTTTCCTTTACTTGTTGGCCTGGAAACTCCTCCGAGGCCCCAAGTCATAGAGTATGTCCTCTGAGAAGCCTCATGACTCCTGAGTCAGGGTCGTGTGCTCCCCTCTCTGTCGCCACAGCTTTGCACTCATTTCCTTGTAAGAATTTGTTCTTACTTTATTTGCCTATCTGTTCCCTTCAGCAGACTGTCAGGAAAGAGGCAGAACTCACTCACCTTTATATACCCAGCACCTGCCCAGTGACTGGTGCACACTAGACACCTGATAAACGTTGCCTTCTCCCCAAGCCCCTTGTCCCCTCCCAGCCATGTTTTCCAAAGGGTTGAGGAGGCTCTGATATGGTTGAGGGAAGCAATGACTGACAACAGGAAGTCCTGTCTGCTGGGCAGGCCCTATAGGAAGGGGTCCAAATACCAAGGCAAGTGGGACAGTCCCAAGACTCAGAGACTTTTCCATTCAGGACCTTTCCATGTACCGTGGTGCAGGTTGTTTACTGCACAAAGACACTCAACTAAGGGGGCAAGAGGGGAATGAAACCAAGCAACTCTCCATTTGCCAAACCTTTTGCCTTTGCCCAGTGCTGCATCTACCCACAGGGGCACCTTTTCTTAATTTGCACAGAAGCTCTATGCAGACCAACCATAGCCCTTGTCCATTCACAGCAGAATGCTCACCTGTCACAGGGCTCCCCCAGCAGCCCCAAGCCCCAAAGGTACCAGGGCCTCACCTGAGGGATCTCGCTGAAGGACAGTCCTGGTGAAGAGAAAGCATCAGTTGCCATAGCTCTGTTGCACTGTTTACACTGTTCTGGCTTCTGGGAATTACACAAAGACAATGTGTCTAGCCTGCAGTGTCATCATATTTGCTTTAAATCATGATGGAAAGTCTGATTCTTACTGTAAATTATAGACATCAGTTACATGGGTCAGTACGAACAGGGTCCACTGAGGAAGGTGAAATCAGATAAGAAGTCAGCACACACATCTGGCAGGGGATCTGAAGGACGTGGGCAGTCACTGCAGCTGCACTACAGATCTGGCCCTCAGTTTCCAGGCGCCAAAGTTCAAGGGGACTCTTGATCAGTTACCTGATTCTTCCTTCAGTCCACCAAAGCCCCCACCAATGTTGATGGCTATCTACTCCCTGCCAGGCACTGTGCTAGGCTTGTGGGGGGAGGGGCCAGGGGGCAATGGTGGCAAGACAGACATGACTCTTGTCCTAATGGACCTTACATTCTAGTGGGAAAATAGATATTTTAAAAATACCAGTAAACAGACAAATAAGTAAAATGATTAAAAATTCTAATACATTAATGAAAGTAACAAATAAAGGGTGGAGAAAGAGAATAAAGGATACAGGGAGATCTATTCATAACAGGGTGGTCAGGGAAGGCCCCTCTGAGGAACAGCAAATAAACTGAGGCCAGTAGGACAAAAAGGAGCTAATCATCAAAGGAGGCGGGGGGTTGGGGGGTGGGAATAGCATGTACAGAGGTCCTGTGGCGGGAAAGAGGTTGGATGAAAACGCACCATTTGCTCTAAGCCATGCATTCCATGGCACTGACCCCCCTCCTCACTGTCCTTACCATCAGTAAGCATCTGCTACCCACACTTTAAGGCTTCCTGCCCTGACAGAATGTATAGAAGAAGCTTCATATCAATCTACTCATCCCAGTCCCCCTACTGCACATTCAGCGGAGCATGCCCCAGGTGCTGGACCAATTCAGATTTGAGGCAAGGGAGTCTCAATCAGCCCAGATCCCCACAGGGTGAGTTAGATGTGCAGTCACCATTCCCACCAATCTGAGTCAGGATGCAATCTTTAACCCCTGGGATCCCAATAGACTTCCTATAATAGGCTCAGAGCCCTGGGGTTCTTCTCATTAGGATAATGGAACATCTGTAAATAACACACGATGCCTGGGGGCCCCTCGTAAGTTCTCTGTATTCTTGCCCCTCAAACCATGTATTCTTGAGCCAATAACACCCAAACCAGTCATGCAAAGAAACTCATAGGAGCAGAGAAAACTGGACAGAATTTGCTCATGTCCTTCCTTCCTTCCTTCCTTCCATCAATCAATCGTTATATGGCACCTACAACGTGTCAGGCCCTATGCATTCCATACTGAGAGGATGTGAAAAGGGTGGCCATTCAGTCTGGGCTTTCCTCCCACCCAGGCTTATCTCCCCATCTGGAGTAGCTACCATCCATCTCCTCTGGACCAATTCCGCTCCTCCTCCAAAGGGAAGCTGTCATCATCTACTCAGCAGCTGCTATGTACCCAGCATCATTCTAAGCACTGGGGTAAATCAGAGAGACGTGATCTGCTGGCAGGGAGCTTCAAGTCCAGTTAGGAAGGCATCAAATGCCTCACTCTACAAAGGATTAAGTAATTCCACCAGCGATGTGGGCTGCAAAAAAGAAGCACCAGGGCCTCTGAGAATATAGTGCTCAGACCACCTGGGTGGGGCAGGGAAGGCTGTGTGGAGTTTTCAGTAGGATCCAGCACACTCTGGTTTACTATTCCCATACTGGAGCAATAAATAGACAATATAACAAATAGAAACAAAAAAGAGGAAAAACCCAGACCTGCATCATTAGCTTTGCTTCTCACAGGTTGCATTTTGCAAAACACAGACCCCATGCTTCAGAGCATGTCGGTGTAGAAATGACCCTGCCATTAGCAGTGGGTTCCTGGGGTCTGGTTCTGTTCTCACTCCTTCCTCACTGTATCACCCTGGCTAGTCTATTATCCTCTGAGAGCCTCAGTTTCTCTATCTATAGAACAGGGCAACATCTCCCCCATGGGGTTGTTGGGAGAATCAGATGAGAGATGCTTATCACGTGGTACAGTGTATGGGACTGTGGTTAATTTCTCCCACTGCTTCCTATCATTGTGACAGCTACATGTTCCTCTCTTGTCATTAATGGCGCTCTCTTTCTGAAACTCCCAGAGCTTGTCGGCCTGATCACCCCATGGACACGCTGGTGCACACCAGTCTTTTTATGTGCGCCTCACAAAGGTACAAGATTCCTACCTGAGCTCGGATCCCCTGTCCTCTCTGTCCAATTCGATTTGACAGCGTGTTGCAAGTACCTATTTGATACTGTCGACAACCGAAATAGAAATCCTGTCTCCAGCTACCCTGCATACAGCTTGCCACTGTCATTAGAAGACCAACTTGGTGATGGCTTCACTTAGAATTCTTGCTAGTAAAGGAAGGGGTCACGGAAGCTCAACATTGAGTCCCTTCATCCAGATGTGCGGCAGGAGGCATTGTAATCAACTGGGAGACAGGTGGGACGTGCCCTCACCACGCTGAAAGCTGCCTCCTAGTCATGCCTGCACTGCGCTCCAGCATATTTTGCTCAGTTCATAGAAGCTGTCATTTAAGAAAAATCTACTCTGAGCTGGGCCCTGTGCTGGGACTCCACATCCAACACTACTAATGCTCGTGACCACTTTGCAGAGGGGAGATGACTGTGTTCATTTTATGGATGAGGAAACTGAGGCTTCAGAGAGAGTTAATAATTTGTCCAAAATCACCCAACTCCAGAGTGCTGGGCTGGGATTTGAGCTCAGGTGTGCAGCTGCCGCACCCCAAGCTCTGCCCATGGCCCAACTGTCTCTCCCTCAGTCGTGGGCAGTTCCCATCTCTGCCTCCTGTTCTTGGGTCCCCCCTCCCTCCTTGGGTCCTGGCAGGCACAGCTGATGTCCAACCCCTTTAAGAC